ACCAGACAGAAAATCCATGGTTGAACAAAGACATTCAGTGTAGGTCTCTTCCTGACACTGTAAAACTGTCCTGCCTTCAGGAACACACTTTGGCAAGTTAGGGGTTTAGAAAAGGTCTCCCTTCAGGCAGCTATGCTTTACAAAGCCTTTAAATTGCCCAGATACACAAGAGCTAGAAAGCTACCTTGCCTAACCAAATGTAAAAAAAAAAAAAAAAAAAAAAAAACAATCACTGCAACCAACACTACCTGATGGAAACCAATTCACTCCTATCTAGAATAAAAACCAAAGGCTCAAAAAGACAAGTCCCTCCACTGCTATCTAGAAAAACAGCTATGGGTAGAAGAAACCAGCCAGGCACATCAACAAGATAAACAAGGGACAATTAGAGCCAGCCTGCTCCCACGCCCTGCCCTAGTCACAGCTCACATGCACCATCATTGCTATTAATTATTTGTCAGATGCCAATGGTGTGCCTTATAAACAGGCAGGTATCCTCCTTAGCCTATACTCTGGGTCAGACACAGACCATATGTGCCTGGCAGTAATTGCCCAACAGGGACTAGATTGCCTGGGAGGAACCATGAGGAGTTTTGGTTTCTTTTATACTCATGGACAGCACAAAGCCTCACGCTCCTTCAGACCCTCTTGCTGAGGCAGAGCGTATTTGCCCTGCTCCCATTGCAGACACATCGCCAGGCCCTTCCACATTGGCCAAGCCAGCATTTCCCACAACGCAGACAAGGACACGCACTCAGCAAGTGGGTCAGAGGCAGAAGACGCAATGCCACCGCATCATCCTGCTCCCAGCACGCTGATAAAACTGGCTTCGGTAGTGACGTTTCACCTCACCTCTCCCGAGTTCACATTCCTGTTCGCCTCTCCACCACTCCCTTTGTTTTTTGAGTCTCCTTCCCTGCAAGAAAGGGAGGCATGAGTGAGAGAGCAGCGTGCAGTCCTCAGATGTAAAACCAAAATAGCCAGCAATTAGAGGCCAATCCTGCCAACCCCACCACCTTGTTGCACAAGGCAGTGGGATGGACCAGCACTGGGGCTCTGGCTCAGTGAGACATGCCTGGGGTATTTAGCATCTCTGCACTGGGGGCATTTTGCCATCCTTTCTCTCTGCCTAACATCCAGGTGCTTCCATCCTATTAAACACCACATGGAAACAAGAAATTAAATCCACATATGTTTTCACCCTGGCTTTGTTCCTCACACCATGTGGTGTGTCCCCACTGTGTGATGAGCTGGAGAACACTGCTAGGTTCATAGGTGTGCTGAAGAGCTGCAAACTGGTCTGTCTGGCCCAGGACTACAGTTTTACACTGCAGAGTGAGACATAGCCTCCTGAGAGTGGGCTCATCGCTACAGGAGAGGACATGCTGCACACGGGCAGGATGGCTGCATGAGCTGGTGGCTGGCCAATACTACTCACATCAGCCTTTGGCACATCAGGCACTTGTTGAGGTCTGCTTTGCCATCCGGGCTGTTGACAGGCTCCTTGTAGGTGGGACAGGAAAACTTCCCACTGCGCAGAAGCAACCAAATTTTTGCGCACTCATTCTGAAAAGCAGAGGAGGACAGTCAGTGGAGGCTCCCTCAGGATCTCAATGGCCTCTGAGAACAGTTCATTCACATTTAAGCTTTTCTGGGTGGGCTACATGCTCTCAACAATGATAGTTTGTTCACACCAGGCCTAGGGCTACCCACACTCCTCATCCCCACCCCTTGCCACACACCACACGCTGCACAGGCTGCACCCAGAGACCTGCTCGTGGCTCCCAAGGCAGAAAAGACAAAAAGAAAGTCCAAAACCCGTTGCAAAGGCCATTATTCATGGGAAAAGGAATACATATTTAATTTGCATACATCTGCAAATTGCTACCCGCTGCAGGGGAGGAGTCTATAATATAAAGTTAGTCAAGAGCAGAAAATATAGCCCTAGAAGTGCCAGTGGGATGTAAGAGTAACAAATCGACCAGAGTGCCTGAAGAGCAATTCAGGTGCAAGACTGAAACACAGAAAAGCACAATCCTCTTAGGAAGCGGAGCGGTAGTATTGTCTAATGCCACATCAACCAATTGCCTCTTCTGCTGGGTAACTGAAATGCAGACTATGGAGAATCAATGAACCATTTAGCTATTTTTGGCTACTCTGTTTTCCAAGAGGGTCTTTACTAAGGAGAGACAGGCTTGTTTGATTAAAACATTAATGGAGCTGACTTCTCAGTCATTCAATCACACAATTTCCTGAGACTCAAAGGACTTGCCTTAATTCTTTTAATTATCAAACTCAGGAATTATCAGAAGTAGGGGTTTCTGCTGGATCAGAAGCAAAGTTCTGAAATATAATTAGAAATATAATTCATGCCATTTCTAACTCATCTCATTAGATTTCCAGCCCAGAGTTGTTCAGATATGTGCTCAGCATAGTGTACCAAACATACACTGTCAGCTAGAGCCATTGCTGTATTACAAAGGTATTGTCTCTAAACATGAAGAAATTCACTGCTTTTCCCAACACTGAAAAAGCATTATGATATCTAGGTATAGTCCATCTAAATGACTTTGCTCAGAGCATGCATTAAGCAGTATAGCTGGCAAAACAAAAGCAGAATCAGAATAGAAAAGGTTGGACTAGCCTTAATCGAAGCTTGGCTGGCAACATCTGCGACAAAAAAAAAAACAAAACAATGAAACCACACAAAATCTTTGAAGGGAAATTTTAAACCAAAAGCATTGAATTAAAATACTTGATGCAGTTTCCTAATCCACCCAAATGCCTCAAGATAAAAGCTAATCTAATGTGTTATTGTACACTGATAGCAAGCACTGGGCATTGGAGCCTTTCTGGAACATTGCACTTGTCATTCAAATGCAAAAAGCACATCCATTTTTTGCATCTTTGTGCCCTCCTTTACTGTGTTACTTTTCTCAGTCTTAAAATCCAAGTTTCAAGGATGGTTGAATAGCTGTTTCTCTATTATTCTACCCCACTGCCTTGGTAGTTGTATCAACCTTACAAATATTTCATCTTCACTTAAAATTGGGATACCAGAGCTAGGCCATATCACTGTTGTTTGTCCAAGCCCTCAAATTCCTTTTCAACACCCATTCCATTGGCAGTACTTCACATATATTACCAGATTAATAGTGAGTCAGCAGGTGGGTAGCTGATATCTGTTTCTTTCTACTAAGACACTTAGAGCTGGTATAATAGATTTCATCCTTTTCTCTTACATCACCTGTGGCATCACAGGGAACCATCAAGAAATCCTCCATTAGCTCCTTTTCAGTGTAAATAGACAGTAAAGTGAAAGACCATTGCATCAAGCCTAAACCCCTGCTGAAGTCTCTCTATTGTAGCCATAAAAAAAATGCATTCCTTAGCAAGAGTGTTGACAAGAAGTTCCCATTTTTCTGAGTTTGCCAAAAATTGTATTACACTTCTGTTCAAATTGAAGCTTTTTATATAAAAATTCAGCCTGGTTGGAAATTTGTATTCCTCCATTTAGGCAACTGGGGGTTTGGGGGGTTTTTTGTTTGTTCTTAAACAGTTAACTCTACTAAAAATAGATACTTTTACCTATCAGTAGAACTTCACCATTTTCACATGCAAGAGAAAAAGCCATTATCAAGAATGTGTTATATCAAAGCAATACAAGTAGTACAGTAAAAAATGATGGTCTTCTGGTTATGCCACTATGCTTTTTAAAGAATAAGGGCTCTCTAATCCTTTAACTCACTGTCTTTACAGGAGGTCCCAGGCTGTGTCCTGTGCCAGTCCCAGATTTCAGCACAGAGAACATCAGAATTTACTAACCTGAGAAGAAGCAGAAAAATGCCAAAGCAAGGACCACCGAGGCACCTTCTATTTTCATGGTGAGGGTGGCAGCTGTTTGCCTACGTTGACTCTATTAGTGCATTGCTCAATGAAACCCAAAGAAAGGGCTCAGGTCAGATCACGTATATATAGATGACCAGATTCTCCGCCTTCATTATGACATAATCTTCCCAAGAACAATCATTAGCTGCAAAAACCAGTTTGATGACAGTAGCTCTAAATTCTAAAGATCTCATTAACACAATTAATTTCCATAAGGATGGGACATATTTGAGTCACTCCCTGCATTTTGTTAAGGTAAGAAAATTATAAATAGATCATTTCAGTTTCCCCACACAGCCAGAGGAATTCTTGCCATCTTCAGGGTGGTACGTAAGACAGAGGTACCCCAGTCAGCACACCCCTAATACCCTTCATATCTCAACAAAATAACTGAAAGGGGTTTATTTTAATAACTTGGCTCCAGCAGAAGCAACAGGAGGGCCAGGTCACTCAAGACCCCTGAAAGTCAGTCTGCTTTTATTAAAGCACCCCCATATGAACCTAAATAGTAAGCATTCAGGCTAGGTTGAAAAACATCAGGCTTGAAGCCATGTTGAAACTCTTTGAGTCTGTTGCTACAGTTCATGTAGCAGCTGTGCTAATGAGTAAACCATACTGCCAAATCCTCATCCCCTCCCTGTTGCCTTCAGAAGAAATTGCAGTGTTGTTAGTGAAAAACCTTTTCTCGGATCAGGTGGGACCTGGCAGACCATATAGATACTGCTCTTCAAGCAGATCAGTGCTCACAGAGGTGTGCTGTTATTAATGCTAAAGGGTCCAGCAAAGTAGCCCTGCTCAGGTCTCTCCCAAAGAAGAAATAAAAAGTAGGTTCATCATCCTGTGCAGGGTTTTGCAGGGGACTCAAGAGAGGAAAACAAAGATGACACCAAAGTTTTGGAATGTGATTTATGTGGGAAGAAGCCACGTGCCTTGTTGTCTGGTGAAAAGAAGAGAATTTGGAAAGAAAATTCATTTGCAAGGTTTGAAACAGGTGGATAATGAGTCAGAGGGGCTCATGAGCTATGAGGGGCTCAAGCACAGGCAAGCAGGCTGTGGCTGTGCAGAGAGGCAGGTCAGTGCCATCTTAGAAAGGAAGAAAACCTACTTCCGGCATGACGTATGTGTTTGGCCAGGCAGGCCAACACAGCTCAGTCCAGGTATAAACCCTTGTAATAAGTTGCTGCCACGTTTCTCAGATCAGAATAGTTGTTAGTGTTTACAACTGCAGCCAAAGCCAAGTAAGTAGAGTCCTAATTCTGTGTGTGGTCATCCCTAACATTTCTTTTCAATTCAAAGCAAAATCATGTCCAGGTTCACAGTGGAGAGTCTGGAACAGAGAAGTGCCTGAGGTCATACAGATGGTTCACGGCAAATCTGAAGAGCTGTGTGCTGCCCTGAATCATGAGATAATTTCTGTATGCACATTTGGGCATGGAATTAGAGGGGAGGCCAACAGGAAGAGAACTAACCTGATATAGCATGTCTCAGTAAATCCTTGGGAGAGATTGGAAGAGATCCAGAATGGAAAAAGCAAAAAAACCAAAGCATGGTAGTTTAAAAGTGGATAGAGCTGGAAATCTATTTGAAGGACAAAACCAAAAGACATTCTTTGTTACTGAGGTGTCTTTCCATGAATCAGTCATGAGGTTGTAGGGCTTGGGGAAGGGAGGTGCATTTTTAGATGGGTTTTGTTTTTAAAGTCGTCTTTTCCTCCAAAATCTGTATTTCTATAGAGAAGCAAAACAATCCTCTGATTGAACGCAGCTGGCTGACCACCCTGTTCCTGAAGGAAGCAGAGCAGGTACCAGACCCAGTCAGACTGGCCAGGTGAGAGCAGCTCCCAGCCTGGCAGCATAGACAGAGCGAAGGCAGAAGAGAGAAGAGAGACACCCAGGTCCTGACCCCAGACCAACCCCATGACCACCGTATCTCTCTCCCATTGTCCCACCACTGCAGCACCCTGTCCCCAAGCCAAACCCACACCAACCTGTGGGAAAAGGTCAGAATGGCCCAAACACCTTGGTACCAAAACCAGAACCATGTTCAGTACCAAATCTCAAACAAAAGAGAAGGATCTCCCTTCCAGTTACTACTGGATAACTACAACCTCCTAAAAAATACACCAACAGTATGAAGCATGATGCCATGGGATGGGGAGAACCCTGCAAAGCCGTAGGGTTTGAAGGATTGCCTCCTGTGTACTTGAGTGTACAATAGAAACCTGAGCAGAATAATGAGGGATGACAGCAAGAGTGTTTTAAACATAAACCTTGCCTGACTCACCTGATTGTCTTTATTGATGGATTTACACAATGAAGTCTGAGTCCTGCACTGGAATCCAAACAGCCCATTAGTTTCCATAGGAGTTCATATTGCAGGATCAGATCTGTAGGAGAGATGATCCTGATGCTTTAGCAATGGGTTTATTACAGCACCTTGCTAATCTTAATTTAAAAATTATGCCAAACAGCTGAAGAGCAATATGCCTCTGAGAAAAGCAGCTGAGAGCCAGAAGAGGTATTACAGAGACCCTCAGGTTCATGTCTCAGTTAAAATTTTGGAAATGTAAACAGCATATAATGATGCTGTGCCCAGTAGGACAGCTCTCATTGGGTCCATTTTCCACAGTGTTCTAGGAAAAAAAATGGGAAACGGAATAAAAACAATCTTGGAGGAACAATTAGGAAAATACAGAGGAAAATGGGAGCGTAACATGAAATTTAGGCAAACTCTTGTCAGGTGGAAACCCAAGAGGTTGTGAGTAGTCCTAGGGACCAAGTACTACAGCCACCAAGCTGGACCAGCACCATGGTGGGCAGGGCACAGCCACAGGGGACACTTGCCTCTTCCCTCTTCAGGGTCCTGAGGAGAATGGGGAAGGGAGTCCAATACCAATAAGCAGCCAAATGCTTCAAACCCCAATTAGTGATGAACAAGCTTTCATGTATAAACCCTTGTAATAAATTGCTGCCCCATGTTTCTCAGGTAAGGATAGTTGTTAGCATCCCTTCCCTATGATAATTCTCCTATTTTCTGATGTTCTCATATTTCACTCCTTCACAGGCTGTGCCTGCACAGTAGTGTATCTATAGATATTTATAAAAAATAATTGAGATGCCTTGTCCATTCAGAAAATTGTTTTTCTTCCCTTTAGTGACATGGCACCTTTTTGTAGATGGGATGACCTCCTTTCTAGTGGGTTTAGCATCACCTAGGGATGGTTTTGGCAAGGGAAAGCTTCCTGGCAGTATAACTGGTTGGGGAGTTTGGGGGCATGAGGGTTTGTTTCAGGTTTTGGGGGGGTTGGGGAGGAGGGTGGGTTTGGGGGGGTTGTTTGTTTGGGGGTTTTGGGGGGTTTTTAAACCATCTCTGCTTTAGTGGCTCTGAGGGTTCTCTTGATGCTTAAGAACATGGGCTGTGCAGCCTCATTTTCACCCCAGAGCAAGGCAGGGTTTTGGGTCAGGTCTCCAAAGCCACCACAGCAGGACAAAAAGAGTCCTGACAAGGATCTACAGCCCATGTTTCACCACCTACTTTGGCACTGCTGCCAGGGACAGTCCCCTTCACAACACTGTTTGCTTTCTTTCCCCCCCCACTGGAAAACTCACATCTCTAATCTGTGCTGTGGCTTCAGTATCATCAACATAATTCTCAGCAAGCAGAGGGGACTTTACCCAACATCACTGCTGGGTCCTTAGACCAGACTGCAAAAGCAACACATGCCTGCGTCTGTGCTGCCAGCACTGCTCGCTCTTCCTCCCAAGCACCAGCCAAGCTCACACCACCACAACCTTCACAGGTCCCAGCATATGCTCTCAGGTGGGTTGTGCTCTGCCATCTTTCCAGGTTCCCTGTTTACACCAGCACAGGCAGACTTCGAGACCAGGTCCCATCCCCTGCTCTCCTCTTCCAGGGAAGTGAAATCCTGTGTACCCAGCAGAAAGTAACATGAGTAGGAAAGCTAGATCCTGTGTATTTCTAATAAAACTACAGACATAACTATATTCCCCACCATAGTTGTCCTTTTCTATCCTGATTGACACACTTTTTACCTCCCCGACACCTCTTTCCCCTCAGAGGAACCCCATCAGCACCACTGCTAAGACTCACTCTCCAAAACATTGAAACTTCTCTTCTCCGACCCACCACTACACCCCTCCTACAACCCAGAGATCCTCAGGGCTAAAAGAGAAGAGGCATAGTTGTTGGGCATATTTAACAAGAAAATCCAGGGTAGATGGTATTTTGCTTCACAGCCAGAGTCCAGAGCTCTCAACTTCAGCAGTGTTTCATGAGTTACAACTCCAAAGTGAAACATTTCAAAATGCAGGGACTTCAGAGACACTCACCCATTTTTAATCAGTCTCTCAGCATTATTAACACTTTAGGTTGAGAGCAAGAAGTCCCTTGCAGCTCACTTTGGGCTCATCTGCTGCTGTCAAATAAGAAACATCAAGGAAAGTTTATTGTGCTGCCACACTAACATTGCACGCTAACATGGACTTTTGGGCTGTATCTGCATAAGTGTTGCCCACAGAGAGGGTCTGTTCTGCGCATCTTGCCTAGTGTCTTGGAAAAAGACTCATCTCTGCTGGCAACAACCACATCAGGATGGCTTCCTGCCCCCTAGAGACACCCAGTTACATATCCACCCTGGGCTAGACTCTGCTGCAAGAAGAGCTGCCAGTCTCGCTCATCTCCTCAGTGCAGCTTGGGAAGAACTTCATCCACACACATCCCATGCAAGAACAAGGTTTATGACACTAGACAAAATTATTCTGCTTGCATGCACTTCTGTGACCAAAACCCAGTGGCTGATCAGCCAACAGGACAGCCAACCCCAAGCTAATGGAAACGAGTTTGAGTTTCCAGACTGCAATAGCCACGTGTCCCAGAGCTCCCCTGTTCATACCCACTCCTGCTGCAGCTCTCAGATGAGTGCTGCCCCAGTCTTGAGGGAAACATGTTTTGGTCATCCTGAAATCCCACCTCACTGCAGTTACCCAAGGTCTACACCACAGTCCTTTGCCTTCAGCCAGGATGAGCTTCCTGAGCCCAAAGCAGAGCTCCACTGGTCTGACCCAGTGAAAAGTCCTTCAAGTGGCTGCTGATTTCCCACCATTGTGTTGGGTATGCAACCCAGCTCAGCAGCACAGCAGGCGACTCTTCAGGCTACCTGGCTGCATCACTGCAAATGCAAATGCAGCAGAATGTGTTAACTCTCAGCACCCTGGATCACTATTCCCTCTCTGCTGGCTCACCAAGAAGGGTGAGCTGCTAAGTGCCAGGAGAGGAATGACAGGAATTTCTCAGGGGTGCGTGAAATCAGGAATCAGGTACACAGCAAGTCCCATTCATCCTAGAGCACATGGAGCCCCAGCAAAAAGCTTTTCAGAAACATGTCCAGAGCATGGCTACAAGCTTCACTGAAAAATAAAACACACCCAAAAAACCCTGTGTCAATTTGACTCACTGCCTCGAAAGGAAAGAATGTAGATTAACTGATCCAAATTAAGTTTCTTTGCAAATCTCTGTGCACTGAGAGCATCTAACAACTTCCCCTAAATCCAACATCTACTGCATCCTCCTCTGGTCCCAGCATCTCATGGGTCATGCCTTTCCCTGTCACTGGTTTCCTTTCCTGCCCAAATCCACCCTTTAGCTCTGATCTAAAAGTAACAAAAAGCATCTTGGGTTATGAACTATCTTACATACCATTTGTACACCCTCCAACACAGAAAGGTCCTGGGTCTCCTTGTCACATCTGCAATGCAATGGCAGCAATTTCCAGCACTCCATACTTGAACCAGAGCATGGGCCTCATCTTTGAAACCCTTCCCAGACCATGAGCCACCATGACATGTGGCTGACTGTCCTGGACAGGCCTTTGCCACTGCTGACTTAGCTTGACAGTGCCAGGGAGGAGGGGGAAATGAATCAGGAAGTGAGCAACAGCAAGAGGTGTATATCCAAAAGGCAGGGATGAGGCCAACTTTGGAAGATCACAATAATAGCATGTAACACATGCCATCTTCAAAGGACTAATGAATCCCTACAAGGTTCCCCTGTTATTATTTACATTTCACAGATGGGTATATTAAGATGCAGAAGGCTGCATTATCCTCTGGGTCACACCTATTTCAGTCTATTCATCCCT